CATGGACGAGCTTCAAGTCCATTTTCTTTATTAAAATCTATAATCTTAGGTTTCTTTAGAAAGGATTCATAATCGAAGTTATTTTTTGCGAAACGGTTCGACGAGTCAGCTTACCTCAATCAATTATTTTAATAGAAGACTATGCAGAATATTTTTAAAGATAAGGTACTGAACGAAAACATGTTTTCGATGGAACCACCGGTTTTAAAGTGCACACAATCCTTTCATTTTCCAATGAGTTGTTTGTTAAATTTCAATGGAAGTTAGGCAAAAATTTAGTTTTTTTAGATTTCTGTTTTATTTCTGATAGACAGTTTTTTTTTTGCAACTTAGAATGGCAAACAAAGTGACGGTCCACCTGATGGAAAATGGTAACCTTCGTCTTTAGACATGAGCAGTACTATGGACATAACAGAGTATACTGTTTCGCCCATGATACCCCCCATGCGTTGCCATTCCTGACGGCTACTGATATTAATGTCAGAACATGTCAATTTATGCCTGCATGGTTATATTTTGAATCGACATCAAAAAAAGAAGTTCTCAATTCGGTTGTTTTTGTTTTTTTTTTATGTTCGTTACCTCATAACTTCGTCAGTTTTAGGCCAATTTGGATTTGTTTTTATCTGAAAGGATATACCTACAGATTAGTCCTATACATATGGTATCAAATTTCGTATCTCTCTTTTCATTTAAGAGTGTCCTCTTGTCGGTGCAACTAATTTATGCATCTTTTCCAGCCAGCTCTATCCCAGGCCATAACCTTGACCTCCTTATACGACATGACACCTAGTGTTTCCTTTTATCTGTCCCATGTAGTTATTCCTCGGTCTTCCTCTTCTTCTTTTGCCCTCTATTTTTCCTTCTACTATGAAGGAAAAATAGAGGGCAAATAAATATATAGGCATATAAAGATATATACTATCTTAAAAAATCGTCATGTCGTATAAGGTGGCCCAGCATTTTGCCTCTTCTATTCTCTATTATTTTAATTAATATTCTTTCACTCTTTCTCGTTCTTTCTCGTTCACTCTTTTCAGGACTTCGTATAATAGTTTAGTTTTTAAATCAAAGTCATTAATTTTACGACAATTGAAGTATGATTTTTTCCGGACTGATTCCTAAATTACGTTTCGAAGGGAGATAAGGCATCTTCATCAGTAACAAAGCACCATGTGAACAATAGCTAACATAGCATATTTTAATATTTTCCGGAAACTCCGATGAGTTCTGGAGAAAAGAGTTGTAAAGAAATATGCCTACGACTCATTTTGGTTTGTTATGAAATGTGTATATTTTATCAACAAATAAAAACATCGTCAAATTCCGTAATAAGATAAAAAAAAAAATGCAAATACCTCAGTCCTTGAAGGACAAAGTTCTGAAATAAAGTAGGATTTTTACAAGTTGCGACCCGGGGGATTTATCGTTTGTGACAAACGCGACCGCATTTAGGACACCATCTGATAGTCTTGACTTTATTCACTTATACGTATTATCGGCTCGGCAGTTTCTATAACGTATAGAGGTTTACTAAAATCTATAGAGTAATATTTATAATGTTCTTTAACTTTTTTTTTAATCGATTATACACTAATTGATTTTTTTTTTATCGATGCTAATGGAATGGTAACCCCACCTGCGCTAACGGTATACGCTGGCGGGGCACTAGAGAGAGATGATAGGTGATGATGAATAGGTAGTACAGTTAGCCCATCGTGATGGACACACTTGGAATTCATGACGATAGTTTCCAGGGGGACCACGTGGAGGTCAACCTGATAGGGTATATTGCTAGCAACGGGACTGGTAATCCATATTACTAACAAACCCTTTCCCCCACTGTAATTGATTGTAGCTTGATAGATTTTTAAGGATAATCAAGCTGAAGTGGCAATGGGCTAGTCACATAGCTTGAAGAACTACACAACCGATGGGGAAGATAGGTTTTTAAGAGGCGAATGCGTACGGGCAAACGCAGTGTATAATCCCACACTAGATGGAGTGATGACCTGAAATACGTTGTAGGGAGTCAGTGGATGCGGGTGGCTCAGGACTGTTATTTATGGGGGAGGCTTATGTCCAGCAGTGGACGGATAATGGCTGAAATGATGATGATGACAGCTTTTTATTTTGTTTTTCATTATAAATACGAAGTTTGTGGTAATCATTTTATCCATTCATAATTCCTTCCATGTAAACTTAGATTTGAAAAAGCAACAGCTGTGTTTCTTGCCCGTTCTTCTAAGCTGAATTTGCGTTACGAACTGGGCGGTAGTTTATAAAAAGTAACTATACAAAAATGTTTATTGTTAAGTTTACTTTAATAAAAATTATGTTTTATTGTTATTATTAAATCCCTTTTAAGTGTTCTACCAATGATATACTTTCTCAAAGATAAACGGCAAACAATTTCAAAGCTTTTGTATTATTTAATTTTTTGTCATTTCTCAACACGTATTTTTTTTGAGGAAGACAGAAGACTGATTTTAAAAATTAAACCTGTTTATTTCTTTTATAACCTGTGTACTTTATAACAACTTATGTTTTTCATATTCTGTAAATGCTATAGAAATTATAGCTATTTTTAACTAATTATAACTGTTTTTAACAAAATATAACTGTTGTTAACAAAATATAACTGTTTTTAACTAAATATAACTATTGTTAACAAAATATAACTGTTTTTAAAGAACTAATTTTTAACCGTATTCAAAAAGAAGATTCTCAATTTGGTTATAGTTTTTTTTTATGTTTATCTTACCTCATAACTTGATCAGTTGTAAACGGATTAAGAAAATTATTTTTTATCCGAATGGATATACATACTTACAGATCGATACCATAGAAATCTTATGAAAACTGTTTAGAAGTTTAGTTTTTATATTGAAATAACTGGTAAACATACAACCGAATTAAGAATCTTCTTCTGAAAGTCGGTTGAAAATATTAATTATTTGGTTTATTACAAATATTGTTAGGATTAAATTTATTTTTGTAAATAAATTTAGGTAATTATCTATAATTATTATTAAATCCAATATCATAATGTTATTTGAATAATTAATTATCTAAATTAATTATGATTTGGTTTATTTAAATGTTATTAACATTGAATTTGTTTTCGTGAGTAAATTAAATTTAAGTAATTATCTATATCTACGCTAATATTATAAAGAGGAAAGATTTGTATTTTTGTGTGTATGTATGTTTGTAATGAATAATTGTATGTTTGTAATCCATCATTAACCGTCAACTGCTCCGGTACCTAGAAGAGCACCGGCTGATCTGTGATCGCCAGTATGGCTTTCGACAGGGACGTTCGGCCGGTGATCTTTTAGCTTACTTAACACACCGATGGGCAGTGGCAATCGAGAGTAAGGGAGAGGCCTTAGCAGTTAGTCTGGATATTGCGAAGGCCTTTGATCGGGTGTGGCATAGAATTTACCTTCATTTGGGTTGCCTGCGAGACTGTGCATTTGGGTCGCCAGTTTTCTCAAGGAACGTAGCATTAAGGTCGTAGTCGACGGTGCATGCTCTGATTTAAAACCTTTGAATGCTGGTGTCCCGCAAGGCTGTGTACTATCTCCGACTCTGTTTCTTCTGCATATCAATGATATGTTACAGATAAGTAATATTCATTGCTATGCGGACGACAGTACAGGAGATACATTATATACCGGTCATGCAAAGATCTCGCGGGCACATACCGATGAGTGCCGGAATAGACTTGTGTCTGAAATCGAAACTTCACTCCATCAAATCTGGGGTGAACAAAATCTTGTCCAATTTAACCCCAAAAAGACACAAGTCTGCGCGTTTACCGCAAAAAAGACGCCGTTTGTCGTATCTCCTCACTTTCAGGGCACTTCCCTTGATAAAAAGTCAAGTCTAGGAATTCTGGGCGTTGATATATCTTGCGACGTCCAGTTTTGCGGTCATCTGGAGGAGAAGGCTAAGATAGCTTCCAAAAAGTTAGGAGTGCTCAATAGGGTGAGACGATATTTCATGCCAGAACACCGCCTGAAATTATATAAAGCCCAAGTCAGGCCGCATATGGAATACTGTTCTCACCTGTGGGCAGGAGCGCCACAGTACCAACTCCTTCCGTTAGACCGCATTCAAAGTCGGGCGGCTCGAATTATCGATAGTCAACGCCTTACTGTCCGACTTGACCCATTGAAACTGCGCAGAGATGTTGCGTCTCTGTGCATCTTCTACCGAATTTATCATGGGGAGTGTTCTGAGGAATTGTTCGGATTGATACCTGCTGCTGATTTTCACCACCGTACAACCCGCCACAAACTAAAGTTTCATCCCAATCATCTGGACGAGTGGCGGTCTTCCACCGTGCGTTTTTCAAGGCACTTTCTTCCACGCACAACCATTCTTTGGAATCAACTTCCAGCAGCAGTATTTCCGAACCGATACGACAACATAACCTTCAAGAAAAGAGTATATTCCTTTTTAAAAGGCCGGCAGCATACCTGCAATGCCGCTGGTGTTGTGGGTGATCATGGGCGGCGGTAGTCACTTACCATCAGGTGAGCCGCATGCTCGTTTGCCCCCTGTGTTGTAAAAAAAAAAAAAAAAAAACTTAAAAACTACTTTGCCGATTTAAAAAAATTCTTTCACCATTAGAAAACTACATTCACTCTGAGTAACATAGACTATATTTATTGCTAGAAAAGATTAGGGATCCTTACTAAAACTTTAGTAATATAACTCAAGGTGTAAAAAGAATGTTAACAAATATCTTTCGTCGCGTGCGTTGCGGAAACTATTGGTGATAGAACAAAAGTATGTTCTACAATATTGAAGAAAATATCAATCACTACAAAAAACCTCGCGATACTATATGCCCAACTATTATCGTTATGTCACAATAACCACTTTTCAAAATGTCATAAAAATGTCCACCCGTGCGAAGATAGGAACCGGCCCTTAGTCTATAATATTCATAATAATTATTAATAATATATAATATATAAATAACTTACTTTAAATACTTTTCACAGCGGGGGCCCAGCCAGTAGGCGGGCCCGCACGAATCTTCTATGTGACGCGCCTCCCTTCTAGAAGATTACACCACCTGTAATCGAAAAACGAGACTTATATAATTTTTTTATACAACTTAGAATGGCAAACAAGCTGACGACTCACCTGCTGGAAAGTGGTAACCGTCGCCTATAGACATGAGCAGTACCATGGACATAACAGAGTATACTGTTTCGCCCATGATACCCCCCATGCGTTGCCATTCCTGAGGACTCAACTGTTATTCCTCTGTACCCTGTAAATTCACGCCATATCCTACCCTTCAAACCGAAATACAGCCATGTAAACACAACTGTTTTACGGTTGAAACACGAATGGGACAGAGGTACCCAAGCAAACGACTTTTGTACAAAGTCTCCCTCCCTCTTATTATTCAGAATTTTTTGTAATTAATTTTTGTTAATCGCATACAGAGTGAAAGGTTCAACTGTTATTTTTAAATTTTGACTGTGTTTCAATTTCTTAAATTACAAATATGAGTACATCATACGTACTCATTCGATTGGTATTCATCGATTTGAAAATTTGTTATTGTTTAAGAAATGTATTTTTTATATCGAAAATCTAGTTTGAAAATAGATACTAGATGGCGTTGTTGACAATGTAAAAGTCGCTATTAAGGTTTGCGTGTATTTTGATGACCTGCCCTTAGAAAGTGTTTATAAAAGAATCCCATCATTCCTACTGTATTTTCTTGTTGCATTCGACACCATCGGTAGCAGATTTTTGACTCGCGCTACCGGGGAAAGGGATTGTTTGTTAGCAATATACCTTATTAGGTTGAACTCCACGATGGTTCCCCCTGGAAACCATCGTGAACAATTCTTGTCGAATTCGTCACGATGGACTAACTGACCTACTTCATCCTCACCTATCATCCTTCACTGGTGCCCCGCCGGTATATACCGATAGCGCGGGTGGGGTTACTGTTCCATTATCATCCATTAGAAAAAAAAAGACTCGCGGTACTAGTTGTTCGGTTATGCAAATTTTCTATGACAAATAAATATAAACGTTATAAAAATATGAATCACTCAACTATTTTTCAGGCAAAATTGTATGAAAAAGTTGACCCATTTTTTCTCAAAGCGTTTGTATGGAGACACTCTACCTATATAATCTAAGTAAATACCATTATATTAACTACGTATTAAAATATATGGTGATATATATATCATAGAACGAGATAGCAATATCTGACTTATTATTCTTTCACAGACACTGTCGAAAACATGTCTATCGACGATTCATTTGGCATTTAACTAGAGAACTGTGTTTCAGAGTGTAATATTTATTTTGCTAATAAAATATTAAAATAAGACATGTTAAGTTGTTTTTTTTTTTGTCAATGAATAATAATGGAATGGTAATGCCGTATATGCTAACGGTAAAAGCTAGCGGAGTATTAGAGGGTTGATAAGTTAGACTGAAAAGGTAGGTCAGTTAGCCCACCGTGATGAATACACCTGGAATCGACTACGATGGTTTCCAGAGTGTACCACGTGGAGGTCGACCTGACAGGGTATATCGCTAGCAATGGGAATTGACGCCCCCTTACTAACAATCCCTCTCCCCCCTGTATATTATTGTTATTCAAACGATGTAATTTGCAACATGATCAGACTACGAACAGGTTAATTATAATTCTTTAATTAACTAACTTTACGAATTTAGAATTTTACTTCCGTGTTGGTGTTCCATGTTTATTTTTTGATAATGAAAGTTTTTTTTTTTTTCTTTGCGGAAAAATAAAGTTGTTTGTTGCGAAGTGAAAAACAACAACAACACAAGTATTCTTAATTCAAATATTTCAATTAAAAGTATCGATAGTAATATTATAAAGAGGCAAGTTTGTTTGTTGATGGATAATTTCAAAAACTACTAAAACGATTTTAATAATTCTTTCACTTGTAGAAAGATACATTTCTAGCGAGTAACATAGGCTTTTGGTCATGTAGTCTCAGCATTAATAGAATGAACAGGCCACCTATTCCTTTCCCGTGGGTGTTCCGTTGCCAATCCAGGTACTAAGCATGGCAATAAGTACTGGCAAAATCCCCCAACATTTAATTTTTTTTTATACCACTGAGGTGGCAAACAAACACACGGCCCACCTGATGGTAAGTGGCTACCGTAACCTATGAACACCAGCAATACGAGAGATATTACGCGCGCGTTGCCGACCCTGAAGAAACCTTTTTACTCCCCTTTTAAAGGACCCCATTCTGTAGTCTCTTGGGAAAACCTCGGCAGGGAGCTCATTCCACAACCTGAGTGTTCGTGGGAGGAAACATCTCTGAAACCGCGCAGTACGCGACCATTGAGGCTGTAGGACATGAGGATGAACTCCCGATGAATGTCGATTCATTTCCATTTCCTGGTTTATCGATGATTTGTACCTCATACTTTTTGTGATTGTATCGAATTATGTCCTAAAATTGGATCGTTTCAAATTTTTCAAGAAAAATTTTTATAATATAATATTTTCAAGTAATAGTAAAAATAATATCAAATCTATATATATATATATACTATATATATATATATATATATATATATATATATATATATATATATATATATATATATATATATATATATATATATATATATATATATATATATATATATATATATATATATATATATATATATATATATATATATATATATATATATATATATATATATATATATATATATATATATATATATATATATATATATATATATATATATATATATACATATATATATATATATATATATATATATATATATATATATATATATAATAATTAAAAAAAATAAATATATATAAATTAATGCCACTTTTCGTTGTAATTTTATAACTCAAGAACGGGCTCATCTATTCGAACCAAATGTTTAGGCTTTGTTCGGACTAGAGAGTTCGTAGATGGTTTATGTGAAGTTTGCACAAAATCAGTCGAGGGGTTCTTCATTCATCACATCTTTTAAAACAAATGAATTATATAAAGTTATTAATTTGACAGAAACACTAGAAGCACGGGAACTGCTACAAAGCGAAAAAGACAAAAGGCCGTAACCAATGTACAGTCAACTACAATATGAAAAAAAAAAATCAATAAACTACAATATGGAAAATTCAGAAAATACCAAACACTTTTGGTGTGGACAGAAAAATTTAATGTCCTTTTGCTTTGTACCAACTACAGCTTCCGAATACGAAGTGAATGTATTGACGGGTGTGAATAGTTCTTTATACCTTTTTGTCGACTATCTGGGTTCCCGCAGGCTACTGCTGCTGGCGATATGCCAGCTATGTGTGTGGTCCAAGGCATAAGCTATAGACGAGTAAGTAACAGTAAGACATTATATTTATTACTGTTTCCCGAAGCGTTTGCCGCATGTTTTAGGTTTATATTCAATATATGATGCATATATGTACCAAATTTTATTATAATCTCGTCCAGACATTAAATTATGATTGAATAACAAAACTACGATCATCGAAATATATTTACAAACTTTTTCCTTTCTGGCATTAATAAGAGATGGGATAATTAAACTTTTGACGATTTATTGTTATTCTATTGATTCTTATTTATTTCTTTTGATATTATTCAATATTAGTAATATTATAAATGTGAAAGTGAGTTTGTTTGTTACCTTATAGCGCCTTAACAGCTCAACCGATTACTATGAAAGTTACTATATATATATATATATATATATGTATATATATATATATATATATATACGTACTATATGAAATGTAAAACGATGTGAGCTACTTTTTATTTTTATCTCGCTCAATAAACATGTGTTCATCACATGGATGAAGTCAATTAAAAGTTAGTGTTAAATATATGGGAAATTTTGTAAAGATATTTGAATGTTTGTTACTCAATAACGTTATATATATATATATATATATATATATATATATATATATATATATATATATATATATATATATATATATATATATATATATATATATATATATATATATATATATATATATATATATATATATATATATATATATATATATATATATATATATATATAATATTTGTACGATTGAAAAAATCCAAGCAGAGGAGTTTTAAGACCGTCTCTCATTTCTCCATTCATACCTTTACCAATCGTACTTCTACTTTCTTTAAATTTAAAAAATAACGATTTAAAGATTCAGTTCATAATAGCTTGTGAATATTTGTAGATATCAATAACAATGCAACGGATTGTTACTATCGTTAAAAACATATTTAAAAAACGCTTACATCGTTTATCTTGTTCCACACACCGTTACAATGTTGTAAATGTATTTAATATAACATCTATGGTATTGTCGTAAGGTCCAAATTCACTGGCATTACCGTAATGGGGAATTATAATTTTAATTCTATAGTTACACTTGTTGATGACTCTACATTCTAAAAATAAGTAAATAAAAGTACCAATTCAAGACATAATTGTTAGATTAGACCTTAATTGAAGTATAAAAAGTTTTATCAACCAACTTCAAAATAAGTTTCTTAATGCAACTATATTTTATGTATTATTTTTTTTTATACGACTTAGAATGGCAAACAGGCTGACGGCCCACCTGATGGAAAGCGGTACCCGTCGCCTATAGACATGAGCAGTACCATGGACACAGTACACACACATACTGTTTCGCCCATGATACCCTCCATGCATTGCCATTCCTGAGGACTCAGGTGTTATTCCTCTGTATAAAGGAAGAAAGGTTCTTAAGTGGCGACCCCGTACGGGCAAACGCAGTGTAGGACGACCCCCCCACTAGATAAAATGACGACCTCAAATGCATTGCAGAGAGTCAATGGATGCAGATGGCTTAGGACCGTTCCTTATGGCAGTCTATGGAGGAGGCCTATGTCCAGCAGTGGACGGATAATGGCTGAAATGATGATGATGATGATGATGATGATGTATTATACCCACTATATTTTCATTACCTCTAAACTAATACTGATGACTCCTTTTTAATTCGACTAAATTCAGTCCTGTATTTGACCCATC